ATAAGCCATTTCCTGTAACAGTTGTCAAGCTAATTTTTGGTAAATTACTTAGTCCATGTGTTCGTTATTGAGACATAAGCCCAGTGACTTGGCATGAAAATGACATTACACCACTGTAATCACAAACTAAGCTTTTACAACTACAGTGACTACACCCCCTAACTGCATCCCTCTAACAAGTCTCCTCTGAGCTCAGCAGCAGTAGCTTTCGAGCAGCTTAATTAACACTGCATTGCACCATCCAGTGATAAGGGTAACATTAATGGACACTCTTGCTGCACGCCTCCATGTAACTCCATAAAAATCAGAATATTCTTTAGAAAATATTGACCTAATGGGAAAGAATGCACGTAAAACATAGAATGAAATTAAATACAAAAGAAAATCACTATCACCTTTGTGGTGAACTTTTTCTGTACCAAAAGATAACATATTCTGGAGCTCTTGGTGACAACCTCCATTTCTCTCCACCCAGCACATGACAACAGTCAACTACTTAAAGTATTTGGCGTAAAGGACATCATAGTTTCGGCAGATAAATAGTTTTCTCTATCAGATAACTCCTAGCTTATGTTTAGATTTTAAGTGGTTTTAGAATATTAAGGTGCTAAAAAGTGGAAATAATTTAGTAATCTCTGAAGGTTGACACCTGCTATGAAAATCTAAATACATGCCAACTTTTCATTAACCCCATGTCTCATGTTGCAATTAAGTTTTAGATTGATCCCTTGTATCATGGCATTGCACACTGTGCTCTTGAGGGAGCCTGAGCCAAATATACACTAATCTAAGATATCATTTCACCCTCCCTGGTTTCTACCAGCAAGAAAGCACATTCCTGGCTAGTGTTAACACAGGTGCCCTACACTGCTATATCTGGTTTTGTTGAGGAAAGCAAAGTGAGCAGTAGAAAAAGTACGAGACATCACTCTGATTTGTTGTTGTTGGTTTTTACCATTAAAAAATACAACATTAATATTAATCAGGTAAAGAGTACATCACACAGGTTTCACTTTTTATTATTTACAGAAACCATGCTCAACTGATATTATAATTGGAGAAGAAACAGCAAGTCAACTCATAGGACCACGAGAGCATGTTTGCTATCAACAGAGAGACTCCCAGGGACTTCAATTAGGATTAGATTGCAGTCTTCATATTTACATTTAAAAGTATTCCCCTCTGTGTCCTTACACAAATTATTAGCCTATTCAAACTTCATAAAAGGTAAGTGTAAGACGAAAAAGTATGCATTAAGTATCTGACTGATTAAAGAAAGGCAATTTTGAGAGCTGTCACAGAATCACAGAATCACAGAATCACAGAATAGTAGGGGTTGGAAGGGACCTCTGTGGGTCATCTAGTCCAACCCCCCTG